GAGACAGGTTGTGCATTTAAAATTTTATTTTACAAATTCAATTCCCTTTAACTTCTTTATCCTTTAAAAAGAACATGTGCTTTTTCTGTAGTGATGGTACATGACAATGCCTGGGCATGTGTAGCAACATGATCTAGATGCAAAGACAGGGAAAACTTAAGACACCTCTTTCTCTAACTGACCTTGGTCTTGGGCACTTTCATTCCTAAAAGGCATTAGCATTTGCAAGGCAAAGTGACTTCTCCAGCTGGGACCATGGTAACCATGGCTGTATTCCTTTCAAACATTTTCAGACTTACTTTATCCAGTTCCCAAATACTTTCCACCACCTTGGTGATTGCCTAAACACAAAAGCAAAGGCTCTGCTTAAAAGCCACCCCCTTTAGCACTTTAACTTGGCAATTTACAGAACCTGGAGGGCTTTTGGTGCTACAAAAATTACTAATTGTTTCTCCCTGCTAAGTTTTTGCAACTTTTGATGTAATAGCTTATAGCCTATCACACTATAGCCTTGGCATAGATTTCGTTACCATACCTAGTATGTGACCATACCAAAAACCTTTTGCTATGACAAATCAAACCAAAACATCATTTTTTTGACACTCCTTTGTATACAAAACTTGGTATTCGTCTCTCTTTGCATCTATAAAAAGCAACTTTTAAAAGTTTCATTAAGAGAATAAAAACTAAACTAAACAGTTTCTCTTCTGAGAAAGTGACAGCCTGGTTACAAACTACAAAGTTTTTTTGCAAGTTCACCTCCTTATTCCAGCAAAGGAGGTCAATGGATAAACGTGCTTTGTAAGCTAGTCCAATCTATCAAATGAGCTATAAACCAGTCATTTTCTCTAAGGAAAAGGCTCTGGTCAGAACTTCACATTTTCTTCAAGAAATTTCAGATGGCGTGCTTTTGCACTGTAACTTGCATACTTGTCTCCCATATGCTCCCGCAACTGCAGCTATTTAGAACACACACACAAAAAAACAAGAACATAAAATTTACTGACATTGAAAAAGGTAGGAACTACCAAAATACTAACAAACACAATACCAAAGCACTCAAGTGAAAGCAACGTGAAGTTTGACAACATAGATGGGAGGGAAGAAAAATGTAAGAATCCGTTGTTCTAAATCCTACCTGACAATTTAAAATACAAATCAGATCTTCATAGGCTCTATCTACCCATGCAGTATTTAATTTGCAACCAAGTTCTGAATCAAATGAGCTGGAAGTATTGCTCGCTCACGTCTATTAGGAACAGACATTACACTGTTTCTCACTTTGGACATAAGGGGCATGAGGCAAGGAATGTGAAGGCAAAAAATTACTGGTCAAAAGAAACTATTATTGGAGAAACACCACAGAGTAAAATTATATGCATCCCTTGCATCTTCCACAAACTCAGGGACCATGGTACAATTCTAAAGCTCCTATGCTTTCTGAAGAATTTGCAGTTGAACGTAGTCTACATTCAGAATCAAACTTTTTAAGATTGAAAATGGCAATATACTTGGGCCCTTGCCTGCCAGTGACTACATAAACACTTTTTCGAATCAAGGTTTGCACTACTATATCTATTTTAAAAAGGCGGGGGGAGGAAGTAAAGACCCCACTCATCTAGGTTTATAAAGAAATTAAAAAAATTTATTATGAAAGACATTCACCTCTCTCTTTACTTCATCATCTTCTTCCATGATGCTGTACACCTTCTCAAGAAGTTTCACTCCCAATCCTTGCACCACATCAGATCTCAGGATTTCAACCATTCTCCTAATTTTGTCAGGAACTGGTAGCATACCTATGAAAACATGAAATAAATAAATGCAGTAACAATTGCTTTCAATATAGTCAATTTTCATACTCTATGCAGAAGAAGAATATGGGACAACTAAGTATCACCACAGAATTCCAGCTGATCATTTCCATGAAATAAGTTTATCTGAACAATCAACAAACATGGTGAATCAGCAGCACTCAGATGCTGACTCTTAAGACACTGGACAGTACAAAGACACAGTTTGCACAATTGGGTCCCTGTAACTTCATTTCAGGTAGCTCCTGTATACTGTACTGTAGACAAATATTATTTAAATGAAAAGTACTATTGCCTAAACTATACCACCACCCAAATATTTTAATAATTCAATCACTTGCACTTACATCAAATGTAAAAAAAAAAGTTTAATCACTGCAAAACACTAATGGCATAATTTCTGCCATCTGCCTGTTTGTCTCAACAGCCCTTGAATCTTTTGCTCCCCAGCTGAAGCTGCCAACAAGAGAGTCATTTTATAAGGGGAGGCCTCCATTAGGAACTGAGAACACTAGCTTGCTCTTTTACATCACTGAAATCACCAACACTCATTTTATTTTCAGAAGGTGATGCACCCTATAGCTGATCTAATTAAGTTTCAGTTTAGAAATGCAGTACCCCTGTCAACCCAAATGGTAGTAAGTCAATAGCCAGAGGATCTCACTATACAATATTTAGAGTCAGAAAAACGTACAGGAAAAAAAAATACCACTGAAATTTGTACCTTTGACATTTTGTCATTATCTGTTTAGAGACAAACTCTTTCAATGTATTTTACTTTAGCTAGGCAGAATCAACTTACCAGAGTAAAATCCAGTGTTGTCCCATTGCTTTACCTATCACCAAACTAGTTAGAAGTAGAATCCTTATCATTTACAACAGTAAGCACAAGAAGGTCTGAGACTTCAAAAACCTACTCAGCTCTTTCACTTGTTCTTGTTGCATAGTAAGTACAGTCATAACAAATACAATTTTTTTTCTTGCTTTTTGGAATACACAGACATACTTAAGGTCTAAACCAGACCTTAAATACAAAAAGCGATTCAATTCTTGCACCTGTATCTGTAGGAAAAATAAGCTTGCCCAAATTATGCGATGAGGGTGAACTTCTATACTCGTACAAACCTCCACTGTGTTTAATGCTTTGTGTACAACATCAGCTTTATCCATAATTCATAAAGCTTTACAGCTATCAAATCATTTGAATGCTTTAAAAATCTTATTTCAAAATACTCAACTCCAGCTGTTCATTTTGGAAGCTTCTAAGTAGAAGTCACATGGGGAAAAATATATTGCAGACCAGCTTTCTCTCTTCTATTAATAATTACACAGATCAATCAAACATTCCTTTCATTGGCAAGGAACCACAGCTACAGCAGTTTTGCACACAAAATTATTTAAAAAGATGTTTACTTCTGGAAGCACTGTTGAGACTTGAGAAGAAATAAGACTGGATTGTCCTCTGTTGCCCACTAGCAGGTTTTCTTTGGTTATTAGCCGTTGACAACCATTCTTTTAAAGCAGTAACAGGGCCACAGACCTGAAGAAATCTCTTCAAATTTTAATTCCTCTGATTCATGAGGTGATTTTCCATACAACATCAAAGTGTCTCGATACTTTCTATGAAGTTTAAACTCTGGGGCTGGAGTCGAGGTTACACAGTATTCAGAATTCTCCTTAGAGTCCATTTTCAGTGTCCGTGTCATTAGCTGCACTAAGTCATTCATTTCATTCATACTGCTTTTTCTATTAGAGGAGAAACAAGATGTAATTCAGTCACCGTTCATGATGCAACTTCCACCTTGCATTCAGAGGACTTTCAGTGTTTAGTGAGGTCCTGCCAAATATTCCATGTTAAATTGCTACTGATAAAACTGTACCACAAGAAGTAACGTTAGCAATATTTCATCTAACAAAGGCTCAGAGCCCATTCACCTAGCAAAAATTCACAATCCTATTGGGTACTGTTACCTGTATAGGTGCACCTCTGGCACTGCAACAAGTATATTTTTTGAAAAGTTGCTTACACTGACAAAATCAGAAATAAAGTTAACCTCATTCACAGTGGAAAGGAAGCACATTGGCACCTTTTAACTCATGCTTTTAATGCATCCTGACAGCATATGTCCCTTGATGCTGGAAGACTGGTTTCCTGGGAAGCTACAGTTGACAAAATGCAGAGGTACACAATCGCATGTCCCAGAAAGTTCAGCATGGAAAGTTTATATTCACAGACAGACAACAATTTAATAGAGTTCATTTTCTTTATGCATCATATACTTCTTCAGTCATTCACTATGTAGAGATAAAGTGTGAATGAAAGCAATTCCTGCCATTTTTTTTTCCCCCACTCCAAGCCAAGGTCCAATATATCAGTGAAAACTCTTACATCGTATTAAAAAAAATATTTACCTCTCCTTGGAATCACCATCAGACTTATCTGTAGAGCTTGTGGAAGAGCTTAACTCATTATCAGACAGGCAATGGGTTTCTCTCTTTCTCT